TCGTAGGTCGATCTAATCAAAAGACGATGCCTAATTCGCGTTGTTCTGGAGCTGTTAGGTTGTTGATGCAACTCAGGAGATATCCTCTCTCGTTCTGCTCAAAAACAGAGTGAGTTTTAGTCTTCCTCATGCCACAAGACGAACAACATCACTTTATTTTTGTATATACATTCCAAGAAATTTAATAGGCATCTTTAATGTGCCTCATCAATTTTGGTATCCAGCGGCCAATCGTCAAGGCGGCAAGTGAAGTCTATTCCTTGAACAACTTTTTATAGCCAGTTCTGGAGATTCTTCGCCCTTTGTCTCGGTACTTCCACTTATCCCATAGCCTTTTATCTAACTTCATATTTAGCCCAATTCCTAATTTGTCTGTTCTGATCTTCTTCTTCGACGAGTTGTTCTTTGGACTGATATGGCAGAGGACGCAGAAAAATGTACATTCTTTGAGCTCGTCCTGACAACACGATCAAGTTGTAAAAACGAGGTAAGCTTATTCTATGGAGCAAAAGGAGGCTTCAACAAAAATGGGAGATAAACAGTCTTGCTCGAAGTGCTTACGAGAGGCTAGGACTGACAAGCAAACTTGTTTAAATCGGTGAAAATCAAGCATAAATGACCAAGGCTGATGATGATATTTTAGCCTACAGCTATTTGTACATGATTAGTCAGAAGAGAACAAGAGGTAATGATGAAAAGGGCTTCACGAGCCTGCAAATATATACATTCTGTATGCAAAAACTTGTCTTTATAGACCAACGAGTCCCAGAGCCAGGAATAAGGGAGTAATCACAACTTGCATTTTCTATATTTAAAAGTTACCGTAAAAATGTGTACCATGTCCTGGTTGGTCGAATACCGGTCACCACAGCCCAAAATAGTCAAAAATGCAGGACTAATCATTTTAACTTTGTAATAAGCTAGAGCAAAACAAAAAGTGAAGCTAAATGGCTCCATTTATGGAGATAGACAGAGTTATCAACTAACCAATTATTTCCTTCCATAATGCTTGAGCAGTGAGTGGATCTTCATGAAATTCCCCCCTATAAATGAAATAGACCAGTAAGTAACAGGAACGTATGTGGATTTTGTAAGGAGTTTATTAGAAAATCTAGACTTTCAGCTGATAATGAAAATAAGGACCTGTAATATGTTGAAAAGACTAAGATACGGTCTAGACAAGACAACCAAAAAACACTGATGTATAATGATTGACCAAGCAATGGAAAGCTTAGATCGAAATAAAACATGGCAATGTCAATTACGTAAATGAATCACTTACAGCCAAGATATTGGTAGTTAGTTAATCATGTAAATAAGGCATAAATAGACATCAAGTAAATAAGGACAAAAATATCTTTAAAAGGCTTTAAAATAAAATCGTGAATACCTCGCAACGAAACAGAGTATACAAATGAAAAAGTCAGGTTTCTAGTTCAGTGCGATGCTTTGCATCGAAAAAACGCAAGTGCCCAACATGAAATATCAACTTCTAGCCTCGTCAAAATGTGAATGCGAACACAACGCTTACTCGTCACGAGGTGGTGTACAGAGGCCATTAGGTTCTTTGGATTCAGCCGATTGCGACCTCTCCTTCAGCGAATCAGCGAGCCAAGTCTTCGCAGTCAAGTCCGGATCCGGCACAGGAAGTATCGAGAGGCGAACCGAGGAGAGAAAGCGTCGCGCAGCCAGATCAGCCTCCTCCTTCTCCAAGAGTCGATCCAGCCTTTCCTCCATCTCCTTCGTATCGAAGACACTCTCATAGTTTGACCTGTCTTCTGTACTCATAGGCACGAAGGCAGAGACGCCTTCTGTGCTGGTAACTGGCGGTGCATCCGTTGGCTCGTGAGGGGTCTGGCTATAAACAGATGAGTAATTGGCCAGACGACAGAGCTCTATGGCGAATTGGGCCAATAAAAGGCCAGAAAGATGCTGGCTGCCATCTAGACTGCTCAAAAGAAGGACGCTGGGACGCCAACCAAAAGAGGGTAGTGCCTCGGACTCCACATTGTTCACTTGATCAACTGTAGACAATATTGAATTCGACCCAAAGTCAAATGACCAAATTGTACGCCCCTATACATAATATGCAGAGAAATTAAAGAAGGGGAAAAATAATAGGCCAAGAACATTAGGAAGGTATATTCGTGTTG